TTTACAAAAAATTGCTGCTCATTTCGAAGTGTCTGCGGATGCCATTACCAAAGCTTTCTAAAAAATTATTAGCCCGATAAACCAAATACGTTCATTTGAAACAAAGATTTAGTTAATATCCGTATTTATTCCCTAAAGAAATATTGCCTACATAAGCATCAATGCTAGGGGAACAACAGAGAAATGCTGCCTGCGCTGATTCACAAAATTCACAAAATACCAGCATTTTGCTTCTAACACACACAAGGCAATGTAATGACACTTTACAATGGAAGCCACGGTCTGCAATGCCAAACTAAAACGGCAGCCACAATTTTGGAATTTCATGCAGATCGGTATTATCAAATAATCCAAATCAAAGTTATTTTGTTCACAGGTAGCTATCCTGACAACGATTGTACCAAATCGCTATTTCACATGGTATTCATACGAATGCTGAAAAGCATCCGCCAAGTTTTTTTGTTTTTTGTTTTTTTTTTCAAACCAGTTTTTATTAGCAAAAGAGAGGGGGTCTTGCTGAAGAAAATATTTCACCAGTGATCTGATATGAGCTTTCTGCACACAAATCTGCTTTTGCAACTGTTATGCAAGAAGTTTAGTTCTGCACTTCACATTTTAAATCCACTCAAAACTAGAATTAAACACAGAGAGGCAGCCTGGAGAGTAAACTGAAGCTTAAAGGCTTTTAAATGAGAAAAACTTCTGTAAGAAAATAAACATTGAAACCTAATGCTCAATCATTTCCCCTAGCAGTAAGAAAAACAGCATTAAATCACCTATCCACGTGGGAAACGGATTTTTTTTTCGGTTAGTCGTTTAGCCCCTAAAATAAAATAAGATTAAAGATTTCAGTATTGAAATGCTAGCCATTATTATTCTGTAAAGGTTTATTTAAACAGTGCCCTTTGCTTGAGTCTGTGAATTTAAGCGCCTTTCTGTATAGACTACCTACAAACGTACAGCAATTTTCATGGTCGTTTTCCTAAACTATTTTCGCAACGAGACAATAGCATGGGCTTATCAAAATATGTTAAACTACTAGTTCTCTTTCTACGAAAAAAAATATATTTTTACACACACACACACACACACACACACACACACACACACACACACACACACACACACACACACTTGGCTGCATATACCTGAAAAAAAAATCAAGGAAATTTTTTGAGCTATTTGCTACACGGGGGATGTTTGCTCCTTACAATTTTCTGAAGCTGTATTAGACTCGGCGTTTCAACTCTTTAATGGTAAATCGCGATTTCAGGGCCATATCTTGTCGTCGGTTTGTTTTTAAAAGCAGAACTCCCTACTGAATTCAACATGGAGTTGTGCTTAAAAATTGATGGCACGGTACGGCCCCTTAGTGATTTACCAGAACTGCAGGCCTTCCAAAAGTTAGCTGGCCACTGGAAGCTCCTGTTTGTCTTCTCCATGGAGGTTTAACTCCCTGGACCAAAAGGATGCAAGCTGACCAAGCCGCTGTTTTCAACTATAATAGAATTCCCCCTTGAGAGGTTTAATTTACAGCAGACTTGTGAATGGGAAAACGGGAAATGTTAAGTATTTTAACCAAGCTTTTTTATTGGTATTGAAGAATTCAATTGTATCTTAAACATGAACCAAGGAGGATAATGATACAATTCATCTAAAATCTTTGCTTGCTGTAATTTAATGTTCGCTTTCTTTCTTACATTAGAAATGTGAGTTGTATTCAATATACAATTATTCCTATTTTTCAAATAAGCATAGGAAACTGCACCATGATAACGCTATGCTTATCCATCCACCCACTCTCTTTATTTTAATCGCAAAACAATTTCTCTCTTAAAATAATGAATCCGAAATGTATCTGCATGCTGATTATATAAAAGCAGTTTAAAAGGAATTATACACAGAAAGATGTTCACACATTATTTTTCTGTCTATGCACAGCTCTGTGCCTGAGCAGATAGTATCTATATCTTTCTACATATAATCCGTTCACATATAATCACGGCCCAGATAGATTTGAATTCATTATTTTAAGAGGGCAGTTTTAGTAGTTGCACAAAAGCTGTTAGTTAGATACAGGTAAAGTTATTCCAACATTTGTGGTAGAAAGCCTTGAGGTGACACGTTATTTCTCTATCTTCCTGAGCCTCTTATCCGTAGGCTTTAGTCAGTAGTCTGTCTCGCTCCCAAAAGTTTGTATCATTTCCCTTCCCGGGGGAAATATAATGAGAAGGTTCCCACCTTTAAATATACCCTCTCTCTGTACCCTGCCGCCTCCTTCAGTAACCCCTTTGCTACTGGTACATAATTTCTTTGCCTCCTACCCACATCCCATCGTTAATTTCACACTCTTGCCTCTGCTGGCGAGACCGACCCCTAGATTTCCCCCCAAACTGCCCTAAAACTGTCCCTCAGCTCCGATCCGAACTTAGACTGATCCTGTCTCAGACTGGAAAGGGTGGACCCACCACTCCTTACTGATGGCCTGGCAGAACTCACCAGTGGCTTCGCTCTGCTCAAGGGCCGGTGAGTTTCGAGGTCATCAATAAATTGGGAAATAAACGATGTACCCGAAGTCGGGGCCCGGCTTCTACACCTGCATAAACACACGCAGACACGTAGAGTTGGAGGTAGGAGCAGACTCTATTCCGTATTCATCTCTCCAGAAACAAGCAGCGTTCAGCGCAACAGTGCGTGTGTGGGACTGCGTGTCTGCCATTCTTGCTCACTCACAAGGAATCAGTAGAAAATACGCAGGAGGGAGAATATATTCTGCGTGGCGCTGGCTGCAGAAACAAGCACCGCTAATACAACGCGCGCGTTTGTGCTGCTGTTTCGGTGGTTTTGCGCCTGCCCTACACAGACTGAGGGGCAAATAGAGAGAGAGAGAGAGAGAGAGGAATATATGCCGTGTGGCTCTGTCTACAAAAATCAAGCCCTCACAACGGGCGTGTGCTCGTTTCTGTCCCTCTCCCACACAATATCCGCGCTCTTTGAGAACTACACTGGACAGAGCTTCGGTCCCTGCTTCCTTATTATTATTTTAACTTTCAGCTTGCCTTTAATTAGACTCTGAGGGGTTTGCTGCGTTAAAAATCCCATTTAGCCTCCTCCCTGGTCTCTCTGCACAAATTGGCATATGTTTTGGACAGCAGCAGCTCTGGCTATGGTGCACTTTGCCACACAATTCCCTAGTGCATTCAAACATTCTGCTTTGGCACTGAGGGACTGGGATCAGCTATTCTTCTCTTCCCATGATTACTCACAGCCTACAAGAAACACCATATGCTTCTTCTGATCAAACAACCCGCTACAGAGGCACCAATAATTGACGAGACCTGCTCGAAATCACGCAGAAAGGTAGCCTACTGAGACTGCAGGAGTTGACAAATCATTGCTAATAATCCTTTTAGGAACATCACGGCCATCAGAGTTTGCAATAGCTTTATTTTTATAAAGTACGCGTTGACAGTATAAAGGACAACTCGATCTCTTTTTAAACAGAAGGCAGGCTCGTCTAATGATATTCAAGCCGGCAAATCACAGCCACAATAGGAATGTGCAGTTTCATTCATGTTGTTACCTTTCAGGTGCTACAGCTTTGATTCATCTCCTCGCTTGGTTTCAAGTTATTAGGAGATGGATTTTATTGCTTAAGGAAATTACTTCAACATGCAATAGATTAGAAGTTACTGTCAAGGGTTTTTTTTTTCTTTAAAAAAAGCAGTTTTAAACAATCTGACAGAAAAAAAATCTTCCCGTATCCAAATATAGATATCACCCCTCAGATACTTACACTAAAAGTATAATTTCATAACGAACAACTTCGATTTTCAATCAGACTTTTAAAAATGCGAAGACTAATCTATTGCCCTACTTTTCCCATCTCCTGATAGAAACAGATTCGATCAAATCGCCAGTCTTCCTTTGTAAAACACAATATCCTGGGAGCTGTTCAAGCTGTATATGTGAGTCATGTTATTAATTCGATTGGAAGAATTTCCCGTTTCATAGTTTTCTCTTCCACATACAGGATACTCCATTCAGGTGAATCCACATAAAATATTGGTACAGGCTTTTTCACTAATTTCTCTCTCACATTAAAAGAAATAGATTCAAGATACAAGCGAACTTTGTGTAGTCCCTCTTTACCGATGAATAGTCCCTCTTAACTTTTCCTGGTGTTTGTTTTGCTTGGCAGCGGATCTAGACATTTTAAACATTAACTTTCAATCCTAGATTTGGTTAACGGCAAAACTTTTTAAAGTATATAAGAACTCCGAACCCTGATTTTACTAAACAGACTAGACTGATCCTTCTTCCACTGATATCAGCCTAAAGTTTGCCATTGACTTCAATGGGAATAGGATCAGGCCCAAACTTGGACCCTATTTTCATAGGGTCCCAGGGATTTTCAATTCTTCTGAGTGTAGAACTATTATTAAATATTTCGGAAACCATTTAACATCACCCAACCGTCCTAATGACTTTCAGACCAGGAGACACCACATTCATAATGCAATCAAGGTTTATTTGGATTTGTTATTTATTTGTATAGCGTTGTACCTGTAAACTGTGGTTCAGTTCTTGAACTAAGGCTTTAAGACTTAGCATAGACTTATGTAAATATTTACCCATATATTAACTCCCCTTCATATAGCTATAAATATGGGTGGATTGCCCTTTTTTTGTTATACACGTGCTTCGCAAGGGATGCAGATCTTACATAGTAGAAAAGAAAAAGTCATGTTTGTTTTAGTAGAATACGCAGCTGAGCTCAGTATCTTGAAGTGTTGACAAAAGCACTGTTGGTCCCCAACCAAACATGTCCCATATGTACTGAAGTGAAGTGAAAGTATTTACGGCAGAGAAAAGGGACAACACAGGACACCTTCCTTCAGGAATTATACACTGCCAGATGAAATTTACATAAGAGTAAACGATCATCTGGACTGGAATTAGAATGGAGGCAAATATTCATTTTCAGTAAAGTCACCTACCTTCAGGAAAAACCACCCTCATTTTTAAATAGCTGGTGGTGAGTCTGATTATTGAGGCTTTATCCAGCTGAGAGGTGATAGCTGAGGGCAAAGGCAGTAATTTAGCCAGTTCATAAAATTCACTGTTTTCTTTCTCCCGTCTAGTCCGGGCAGCATTTTTGGACTTCTCTTTCATTGTGGTTTTTTCCCCCTTCCTTCTTACAATTTGAACTCCCCAGATTCATCCAAAGAGGGGAGAAACTTTCAATTACAATTCATCTTCCAGAAGCATCAAACATTGTTTTTTGAACGCAGAGGGTTATTCTTCTAAATCTTTAAATGGTATAAAAAAGATTCAAGACCAGGAGTGATAATTTTAAAAAAAATTCACTTAAAAATAACATTAACAATGCAAATGGATAGGAAAAGGTCCAATGCAGCTCAGAGAATCCCAGTAACTGCGGAGAGAGCTAAATGCCTGCACCACACAGCAACCAAATCAAGGTATTCTGTCCTTTTCTTCTACTCAATGCTGCAAACATAGCTTCTCGAAAAAGAGACATAATCCTCTCTTTTTTTCTCTGCTGTCAATCCGATGCCCGAAATGATTGGCCTTCGGCTCCTTCAGTGGGTAACAGGTACAGGTTACTTCCTTCGTGCCACTGTGAAGACAACAGCATTCCTGGGATGAGAGATCTGTTACACAATGCCACACGTAACCATGTTATTAAATCTTAAATAAATAATCATCAAGAAACAGCCTCTTACGAGTTGCACCGTTTTCTCAACTGGGCTCACAATGGAAAGTGTATTTTTGCATCTCTGGGTGAGTAGCGGCTGAGAATGGGTAGAAAAAATAAATGTTCGTATATTCTCCACCCACATTTCGGCTGCACAGACAAACATTTTATGACCAAAATGAAGTTACAGGTTTTTATTTAAAGAATAGGGAAATTCTGCGCTCTTTCCATTGCAAACTAAACTAGATTGTTTCTTTCTTCCTCTTTAAATGTTAGTGCCCGGACTGCAGAACAGAAGCCCCTAATACATTACTACGTCCATTGAAAAGTGCAAACAGTTCAAATCCCAACGCATTTGTACTTTTTCCGTGTGTTCTCTCAATTCATCGTTGTGTGAGCCGGAGTCTGATTTCTAAATCCACCCTCTAACCTGTGAATGAAAGTTACATTTTTAGATTCTCTGGACGCATGCTATCCCCCCGTCCTGCCTAGGGATTGAGGTAACAACAGCATATTAAACAAAGAGCGGCACAGTGTCCAACTAGACCCGGCGCACAGACAGAATTAGCCAAAAAGCAATCACAGAAGGGGGAAGCAAAACAAAATTATACAGACACGAATCATTTCTCCCTTGTACAGGTAACATTGCCACTGGTCTGTGAGGCTGATCTTCTTTTACCTACCTTCAGTCCCTGCACCCAGCAGTCTGCAGAAAGCTCTCTCAGGGTGAGGAGCCCAACTCTTTAATTGAAACCATTAATATCAGCAGAGGGAAAGTTGGCTTCTCTCAGTGCTTCTCGCACGGATGGGTAGACAGATACTGCTTCCTTCCCATCCCCTTTATGTGGTTTCAGACTCCCTCTCCCGTAATGGGTATGAAGCTGATATTAATGAAGAAGCCCTAATTTGAGGCTGAGAAATGCCTAATAACTTCTTTATAGCTAAAAGGCTTTTAGCACAACTTCATTTCTCTCCCTGCCTCAGCCTAGCTCTCCCTGAGTGCCACTCATAGGCCCACCTCGCCTCCTATTGGTCCCGGTCTCCCAAAGGTCGGTCTCCCACTGGCTGAGAGGCAGGGTGACGCCACCGCGTTCCGGACACACCCCCCTTTACCCTTGTGCCGGGCTGGGTCTGCAGCGTCCGCCCTCTGACCTCCCGGCTCCTGGCGCCCTTAATGAGCGGGCGCTGGGAAAGGCAAGTTGCCACGGGCGAGACACACCCAGCCGCCGGCGGGGACTGCTCTGTCTAGCGCGGAGGCTGCTGCTGCGGGAGCAGCGCTATGTCTGTCCTGGGGCCGGGCCTTGGTGACGGTGTGCTCGGGAAAGGATGTTCCGCTGCGGCTCCCAGCCTGTTTGGTCCAGCCCCGCACCTGAGTCCCAGGGCTGGTGCTGGCGCTGAGCAGCGGGAGAGACCCACCGCCTCGCAGTCACCGCTGACCACCTCGACTGCAAGATGCAAGGTCTCCCTGTTGAGCTCACTCAGCAACAGCCCGCAGGAAAGGAGCACTCCGGCTCCAGGGGCTTGGGTCCTATGATGTATGATGTTGATCAGTAGTTCAAACCACTTTTCTTCTTGCCAGCAGCCGTGTTTGGTGGGAGAGGGAAATAAGTGCAGCGGGCATGTTACCTTTTAACCGCACAAACTGGGATCCAGCAGAGTCCAGAGTTGTCAGGCTCGGTGACAACATGAACTGAGGCTGGGGGAGAAACACCGATGAGGAGGGTTCTTCGATACACACTCTGCAGAATCCCTCACCACGAGACTGAGATACTTTAAAACTATCTGAAAGTGAATTCAAATCATGGGGGATTGAATTGAAAACCGGGAGATCTTGGTAACTTCGTCGAGAAAGCCAGGCAGCTTTCCCTGTTCATTACTGGGGGCGGGGGGAGTCATGGGGACTTGGAAATAGTTCGTTTAAACCAGACACACGTGAAAACTCTTTTTTAAAAAAAATTCTGAAAATAAACACCAAAGATCAATCCAGGAATTTCATGAAGAAAATTATTTATTTTAAATTAAATTACAGCGAACTATTTGCTGTCTACGCAAAACATTTCCAAAAAGAAACGATTATGTTTTCGAACGAACGAAAGTGTTTGCAAAACATCCCCCAGAATACATAAACCACTTCAAGTCTCCACGGTGCCTTTTCATCTTCTAGGTGCGGATTACTGGTCGCTGCTTAACGCTTTAAACCGTCCTTTGACTAAAAGCTTTCCCTCTATTCATTTTGGTAAATAAAGTGAACATAATAGTAGAAAGAAAAAGAACAGACACTCATTTGAGTAGCTAGACGTTTTCTTCTATCATAGTCTCCATTTTTTCTTTTGTTTTTGTTTTTTTGGGGTCTATTGCAGCAACACATTACACTAAACAAACACAAACTCAATACATCCAGTGCAGGTAGGGATTTGACAAACAGACGCACATTTTAAAGGGTTCTCTGCTGGGGAAGGGGGGCGGAAAGACTAGGGGGGGGGGGGAAATGTCTGATTTTAAACATTTCCCTCCCCTGTTGCTATGGCCGAGTGTTCAAATGTTTGTTCAAAAATAGTGACATCTGCCTCCGGGTTTTCATTTCAGGGCAATAAGCCTGCAGAATGACACTGACATTTCTTGGAGGCTATTTAGACATCTGGGCAACAACTGGACTAGCATTGCCAGGTATCCCGTGAGTTATATGGCAGCTTGAACCGCATAAAGCTCCTTTCATGCCACCCCTGGTTCTGAAAAAGATTCAGTTGGTCAGAATTTTTCAGATTTAAACGGGGAAATCATGGGCACCCACCCTAGAAAATTGCATATAACATCAGCGTTTACAGTAACGCACACAAACAGTTTACCAAAGGACACGGGCCCCAATCTCTTATTTACAATGTCTGTCGCTGTGGGGGTGGGGGAGAATTTGGATAAATGCCCCAGTACTGTGAGTAGATGAGTCCTAAACACGCTCATTCATTTTTTTTAAAAGTTTAAAAAATAAATGCGATGGTAGATAAACTAAAGTTCGGAAAAGGAGCAGCATATAAAGGATATTTATTCAGCTTTCAGAGTAACATGAACCGCACTGGACAAGAACATTTCTAATCAGCCCTAATATTTTTTCCAACAGAGTTCAGAGTCAGTTACCGAATTATTTGAAAATCAGGCAATTTTGAAATATTTTGTACAGAAATATTTTGATTAAAGATAAGCTGTGCCCTAAGTGCCTTTTGTATGTTGGTATCAGTGCTTGTAGGGTTGGTATACAGAGAAATCCAATACTTCGTCAACAATTCCAAAATTAGTGTGTAGGTCTGCAAAACAATCGAAAGACCGATGGCATGGTGGGCTAAGCAAGGCTGTTCTAACGTCCCAATGAAGCTCATTTGTCCAAGAAAGGAGCGTGTTATTTTGTTTAATAAACAGAGTGAATGCAATACTATACCACGGTAAATCCTCAGCATACAACTCCTCCTTGGGACACAGTTTGCGAAAGGGAGAGAGCATGAACACTCGAAGACGCACCTGTGAGGCTAAGTTTCGAAGCCCAAGGAAAGGAAAAGAAACGGGTTATTTAACATACATCTCTCTTTCCGGTTCACCGTAAGCCTCGCCACGCGCCCTGTGTACTGCCCTGGGCGGGCAGTCGCGCTGTGAATTGGCAGCAAGGGTGGTCAGTACAAAAGCGGGGCTCTTGCCGTCAGTTCCTGCGCAGACTGGGGGGAAGAGGGGGCTGGCTACACTTCACAGCGGAGCCTACGCTGGGAAATTAGCCAGTGAGGGGACAGTTGAACGAGCAGGCTGTGGGTCCCAGTTTGCGGTGCAATGCGGTCACTGTAAAAGGGAACATTTTAAGAGGGGCTTGCGGGAAAATAACAGGCTCGTTTCACAAACGGGCTTCTAAACGTATGCAGGCAAAAACGTGTGTACCCAGGCACCATAACGCGCGGTGTACCCTGCATCACTTTAGATACAACGCCACAGAAATCAGAGCTGGACGCGACCCCTTAGGGCATGACTGTTCCGTAACTAGCGGATTCGTTAGGGCTTTGATTGGTTTGTGAATTAGGGAACCGTGTTGCAACTCCAAAAGGACCAAGGGGACAGGTTTTAATGCAAATAAAGTCTTTTAAACGCTCTGAAATTGCTGGTATATTTATTTATTTATTGCTGGCGACTCATAGGGTAGGGATTTTGAGGGAACCGCTCTGGCCAGTCCCAGGGTTGCTTAAAGAAATAGCCTCTGGTACCTCTGTCCTCTGGCCGAATTTTGAGCTCCCAAAACACTGATCAAGGAATGCAGAACCCACCCTTGTCTGGTCCTAGAGCATTAAAGACATTGCCCTGAATCTACGCTGTTTTTAATAAGATAGGGACACGTTTCCTTTCGCTAAGCTGCATCACCTCAGGGACGCTTGTATTAGTGCGCTTGTCTGAAAACCTAGGCACACATGGCAATGGAAAGTCCAGTTTTATGAGACCTATAATTTACCGAGGATACAGAACTAGCAGATACCCTTAGGAACGCCTTATATTATGTGTGTTTTCATACGTGTCTCATTCAAGACTGTATTGAAATAAATATACCTAGTGAATGCACTTTGATCCGTTCAGAAGCAATTAACGTGTTTAACTGATCTGGGCTTTTCCCCCCTTGTGGTCTAGGTACTTATCCCTCCTTTTCAGCTGATGGTAGATTGTCCAGCCAAGTAGGAAAGTGAGAAAGCGGATTCTCTTTAAGAACACATGTAACAGTTGATAGACACTAGAAAGCTAGCCTGTAGCTCTAGGTGATTCTATAAGTATCATTTAAAATAATTACAGGACTATTGTGAAATTAGATTAACTACTATAAACATGCTCCGGCATTTTTTGTCACCTTATTAAACAACATTTGGGCTATATCCACCCTTTCAAAAAACCAACTAACCAACCAAACAGAAAACTCCACAATGCCGCTATGGGGCATTTCTCTTAACCGTGTATGCCCCTGGTTTTTATTTCTTCTTTAGCATCAACGTAACAAGATAGTTTACATTCATGTTTCCCCTGACTCAGTTCTTCTTGGCGCTGATCTGTTTAACACTCTATACATTTGATTGTTGCATTGAGTAAGGGAGGGAACATAAAATCTATTTTATGTTGGTACAGATTACACCCACGCACTTTAATCTCTCTGTTTACACTTAAATCTCTGTCTGTTTGACTCTAAGACCAAGGCAGAAGCTGAAACACACTTGAATAAAGTTACTGCTACAAACCTAGACAGTATCCGCTTCCCCTCTCTATCTCACACTCAGACATTTTGTTGCATTACACTTCTGCGTTTTGTACCAATTTATGGACATTCTCTCTCTCTCTCTGTTGAACAGATGCCAAAACTAGAAGGTGACGAAATTTAGAGTAATGTTTCACTGCCTAATACTGCAGTCACATTCTTGTATGTGCGCTCAGAGAAAGTCTGTATCCGGAGATGATTGTTCTTGTCTTCATTACATAGAGTGAGATTCTTCAGTCAAATACTAGATGATTCTTGCTTGGATGGACTTTAGGAATTAAACCAAGTGATATGTATAGATACACAAACACACACGTGAGAAATCCACCTCTCTTCAGTGTACATTCCCTTTATTTAGATTACCAATGACCTCTCCCCTTTAGCCCTTCCTGGCGCTATTTAGCTCTCCTTGTAGAGGTGTTTATTTCCGGATGGCCAATGGCTTGTCCTCCTGTGCGATTTATGTCCCTCTTCCCAAAAATGCACTAGCCCGGATGCTGAGCAACGGGTCTGATGACCATTTCTCGCTCTCCTTTAAAATGAAAGAAACGGCCTTGCGATTATTCTTCATGAACATTTCAAGATCCTGTTCCAGAGCCTTCCGATGAGCATGATTCCGAATTCCTATTCCATGTGCCGTCTGCACAGTGTACTCTACATGTAAGAAAACACGGTTCCCCAAAGCTGCTATAGAGAACA